GGATGGCTTTGATCCCAGGGGCCCTTCCAGTTCCGGTGGCTTCCCCTGTTGTGTAGTACATACAATATTGCATATGTCCAGCAATCCCTTACTTAACTGTGATTGGTGGACTAAAATGTAAATCCACCAAATTACAGCCAATAGGAGAACAGAGCAATCAGTTAGCACAACACCACAACTTTTGTTTTGCTGTTGGATATTTATTCACCTTTTCATTGTTCAGGATGCGATGGGCAGTTTTTTTATTTAACTTCATATCTCCCAGAGTTTTAAATAGTGCAAAAACAACTGCCCCAGGGGAATTCCCAGAGACGACGGCACCTCAAGGTGCCCCCCGTAGGGAAAGCGCCGCCCCAAGGGGCGGTTGTGCCCCCAAATTCCCTCCCAGGGGCGGCGGCACCCCCAAAAGCCATCCCAATATGTACATCTCCATGATCTAACCCCTGGGGAGGCCTCCGCCCCTGGGAGAATCCTTGGCAACGCCACCGCCCGTGGGAGATCCCCTGGGAGAGCAAATAAAGTGTCGCGGCTCCTGGGAGGTGCTCCAGCGGGCTATGCCGCCCTTTGAAAGGCACCCTAGGGACGCTGTCGCACCTGGGAAGGCTTCCTATGGGCACCTCCGACCCTGTGAGGGCCCCTAGGGGTGCCGCCGCCTCTGGGAGGACCCTTAGGAGGGGGTTTGGAGGCACCACCACCTCTGGGAGGGCACCTGAGGGCGCCGTCGACCTTGGCAGGGACCCTGGGGCCGACACTGCCCCTAGAAAGGCTCCCGTGCCCTCCATACTCACACCCTACATCCAGGTCTTCCATACCCACGCCCTCCTTACCCATACCTTTACTCCATGCCATCCATACCCAACAGCCTTCTTCCACGCCCTCCATACACATCCCCTCCTCGCCCGCCATACCCACACCTCTCCCCCATTCCCTCTATATCCACACCCCTCCTTCAAGCCCTCCATACCCACATCCATCTACCATGCCTTCCATACTGACAACCCCCACACCCCTACTCCATACCATCCATACCCACACCTCTACTCCAAGCCCTCCACACCCACACCCCTACTCCATGCCTTCCATACCAACAACCCCCAAACCCCTACCACAGGCCATTCATACCCACACCCCTACTCCATACCATCGTTACCCACACCGCTACTCCATGCCATCCATACCCACACCCCTACTCCATACCCACACTCTTACTCCATGCCATCCATACCCACACCACTACTCCATACCATCGTTACCCACACCGCTACCCCATGCCATCCATACCCACACCCCTACTCCATACCCACACCCCTTCTCCATGCCCTACACACCCCTCCCCCGTGCCCTCCACTCCTTCATGCCCTTCATACCCACAACCCTCTTCCCCTCCTCACTTTTTCCACCCTCCTCTCCTTCCACTTTCTCCCAATCCTCTCAGCTCTTCATCTTCCACCCCTGCTATCTCTTTCAATCTCCTTCTCTTCTTCCGACTCCCCCTGCCCTTGCACTCCCCCCTCTTCCCTTGTTTTCTTTCTCCTACCCATTTCCTATGATGAAAGATTCCTTTTTCTATAGTGAACTTCCTATTATATACTGTATATATATATATATATATATATATATATATATATATATATATATATATATATATATATATATATATATATATATATATATATATATATATATATATATATATATATATATATATATATATATATATATATATATATATATATATATATATATATATATATATATATACAGGTAGTTCTGCTATAACGCGATAATTGTGTTCTTGTAAAATATCGTGTTATAGAAAATCGCGTAATAGAAATAACAGGACTTATGGAGAAAATAGGGTTAGGTGCAGATTACTCGAAATCGAAAAAATTTAGTATTTAGCCTAACACAAAGGATAGCACAGTCTAAATAAATGTTACATTCATATCTAATAATGAAATCATACAGTAAATTTAACACTTTACCTTGAAAAAATATGAATGTAACTTGATGGGGGAGAAGGGTGATTTTGAGGTTGATAACATTGAGCTTCTCTTCAAGTGTTATATCCTTTCTTTTACGATAATCACTGGGAATTCTATCATCAGAGTGCCTTTTGGAGATATTCTTCTTTACCATATTCACAGTTAATACCACAAAATTGGAGAAATAGTAAGCAAAAATCGCGTTATAGCAAACAAGCGTTCGCGTTATACAAATATTGTTCCGAATTCATAAATCGCGTTAGAGCAAATTCGCGTTATCAAAACACGCGTTATAGCAGAACTCCCTGTATATATATATATATACACACACACACACAAGTATATAAGCATTATTCCATAATAGCACCCAACTTATTGACCTTATGCAGTTCAAAGCAACTTTTCTTCTATAAACATCCGTTGGAAATTACTGTACTGTTCTCGCTATAATTACTTTCATGCAAGTACAGTATAACAACTTCCCTACACAAGACTTTGGGAATCATTAGTAAAACTCACTTTCAGTGTCTAATTTCTTTTCTATTAGCTTATCAATAAAGCAAAGTTAATTTTATAATATAAAACACAGAAGAATGTTTGAAATATTCTGTAAGTTAATTGGATAAAAAAGATAATAGAAAGGAAAGAAGAGATAATCAATGTCTTAAATAAATAACATGACTGTAGGACACAAAGAATAAACTATTTTCATTACAAAAACGAAACTGTCCTACATTAGTCAGCTGATATCCAGTCTACACTCAGCACAAAGAATTTTGTAGCTGTCAATACATGTGTTATGACAGGGAAAAATAATATTTTTTATCAAAACTGAGAAATAAGTACAACATACCATCAGTAAATTGGTGTAAGCCTAACTGATGAAACAACAAAAATAAACTATGAGCTATGATGTATATTACAATCTATTCTTTATAGCTGCTAGAGTTAATAACACAGGGTATGGCATCATGTTTATACCCCATGAAGCAATGTTCACAGACTCCTTCATATGAATTTTTCTATAAGATTAATTTTTAGACTGCCTAGTTTTTGTCCAGTACTGTACTGTAATGATCCAAAGTGAGCAGATTATAGAAAGGTGTCTTCTTTTTTCAGAACCAAAACTTATTTTTTGTACATTATACATCAGTCAGCAACAACTGAAAGGTACATTAGCAACAGGTATATGCAGCATAACAAATGCAAATTCCAGATAGGCTTCCACCATAACACACAATGGTACTCTTCAAAGGATTTACTTTGCCTTATGTTTGCTATTAAGAAATGAATCTCAGTACTGTATACAGTACAATGACAAATATCACATACAGTTATCCCCCAGGTTGCAGAAATTTGCCCATACAGAATTTGTAAATTATGATCACTTAATTCGGGATATGGCCCATAAATTCAACCTTACAGAAATGGGGTATATATATATATATATATATATATATATATATATATATATATATATATATATATATATATATATATATATATATATATAAATCGTGGGTACAGTGTATCCATGCCGCTGGAGTCAGTTTGTTTATATCTCCGTGAGTACGCTTGATCTCTCGACACCAGCTCTTGGATTTAACACTTATGTATGTACTGTATCTTATTCAAGACTGTCCAGTGTATTACCCTTAATGGCGAGGAGTGCAAAGAGACCATTAAATGCAAGTGCAAGCAGTGGTGGATACAAAACTTGATATTTTATGTTTTTTTTTTTTTTGGAGATTAGCCCACCCGGGCACAGGTCACTGACCCACATCGGGGCCTGGGGGGCGAAAATGTAATAATAATACCAAAAATAATAATAATAATAATAATAATAATAATAATAATAATAATAATAATAATAATAATAATAATAATTCATAATAAATAAAATTTATAATAAAATATATAAATTTGAAAATAAAATACCTGTAGTAAAATAATAATAAGAACACTATAATAATAATAATAATAATAATAATAATAATAATATAATAATAATAATATTATAATAATAATAATAATAATAATAATAATAATAATAATAATAATAATAATAATAAAGAACCATAAAGAAATACAAAAATGAAAAAAAAAAGATCAAAAGTGAGAAACAATATACTGTATGTTGTGTTGTGTTGTCCAAGTAAGAGAAACAAATGAGACCCTGCAATTGTGTGTTAATGAGGCAGAAAGTCAGATCAGAAACCTGGGTCACAATTTTCGTGATGCTGTATGGCAGCAGGGTCTACCATTAGACAACACAGCACCACCTCACCTGATGCAGCACCCAACATCATTTGTGACAAGTTAAATTCATATTTATTTTCATGTCATATAATCAATGTATATGTGTTTAAAAATGTTTTTCATTCATAAGTGTTTATATTACTTCTTTTTTCTGAAAAAAAATCTCTATAGGAACTCATCTGCAATTATATAATAGAAGTCCATGGGAAAATGGGGTTCAGGTTAGAGAATTTTGCATTACTGTCAACTCTTCAAAAATGCATCCCTTCTGTAACCAGGGGGATTACTGTATTGAAAAATACAAAGAAAATGAATATGACACCATCTTCAATATAAAATATCTTTACATAATAGTAAAATCTACCAGTTTTATCAATTACAGTTGAAATCAATCATCAAGGCTGAGATTAATTTTGTGCCTTTCCATTTCAGCTCTTAAGTCCACCTCCTGGAGTCTGCGTCCTGGTGATGCATAGATGGATGACCCTCTTGATCCTCCAGCTGGAGTAGGATTGCTATATGGCCCTGATCTTGGTGACCCATGGCGGGACGAGTTTAGGGGGGATGAATGTAAACTGGCAATTCCAGGATGTATTGCAGAGATGGGGGTGTAAGGAGCACTGGGTGTCAGTGGGGCAACCAAATCCTGTAGAGTGTTCAATAGTATAAATAATAATTTCTCACCCTGATGGTCATATGAAAATCTAATTTTTCTTTTCAAATCACTGAAGTACACTGTACTTGCTAAACTAAAATAAGGAGACTTTTGTGTAAAAAAAACTGTGTACCTCTAGCCTTGGTTGGAGTTCTAAACTTGCATGACTATTAAACCATTCACTCTTCACTAAACAAGTCTGTTCTTAAATGAGCACACACTTGGTGCAGGCACAATAATATCTGGCAGGTTATTCCAAGAGTTCACAACTTTTACTCCATAGAAGTTAGTGGTGGAAATTTTTTTGTACTTGTAGCTTCTTTAACTTGAGGCTGTGACCTCAAGTGTAAGATGACCATTCTAATGCCTATCTCACTTGATTCTTCCATTTCCTTTTCATACTTCTTCTCTCTTACCATTCACTTGTAAATTACATATACAGTACAGGTACACTCTTTTTTACCAATCTTTCATTTCTCATATTCTCAGCATGTCCATATCACCGATGCAAACTCTAATCAACTCACTATCTGATAATCTTCCCACTTCCACATTTTCTTATCTCATATCTTTACAACATATGGGAGATAGTCTCTTTTTTTCACATTAGACATGAAACCAAATTGCCAATATTGATTTCATAATTACCTATCACTTTAGACCAGATCTGAGAAGACTGAAGAAGAAATGGGCTATATCATCACATCGGTAACACTGAACATTGAGAAAGCTACTAGAGTAGAGTCGGGATATATCGCGAGATAGGATCCAACGATGTTCGCTATTTACTAAATCGCGATAGGGGAAAATAGGGTTAGGTTCTGGAGGCACAAAAGAGTGACTTAACTGGACTTAACGAGTTCATTTTCTTACTAACTAAAACACCAATGAACACTAGACTTGGGAACAATACGCTATTTCAATATCAATATCAAGGAACACCAGACTCGGCAGCTGACGCACCATCTTGGGAACACCAGACTCGGCGGTAGACGCCACACTGCCACCCTCACTTGACAATCCCACACCTACATAAACGAACACCAAAAATATTAGTTACAGTAATAAATCTTTAACATTAAAGCTTTTCATTTTCTTCACTTCATTTTTCATGTCACTAGCAACCCATTTACACTCGCTTTACAAGTCGTAATCTGCAGCAGAGTCGGCTGCTTTCTCGTCACTCACTCAGAAAGACTGAGTGGGCGAGTGTGAATGCGTTAGTGAGCAGCCACTGTGGCGCCTCTGGTGAGCAAATAACGCATTTAGCCATGGTGGTACATTTGAAATATTTCCTGCCCAATTTTCCTCGCAAATTAAAAAAAATTAAAAAAAAATTATCGCTATATACAGTAGTACCCCGATTTACGCGGCCAATTGAACCCACGGGGTACTGCGGAAAGTGAACAACAGAACATATGGGATTAATTCCAATAGAGGCTGGCCCGACCCCCAAACTCCACTTTTTCCGACACAATACCTATGTTGTAGTAAAAATAACATCTTAATTTTATGATGGTATGCTCACACAATTAATATTTAAGAGAAATACAGTCCCCTCTTCCCAGCTCACGAGCTCCTACCTCTCTGAGAAATGTTTGGGTGAAAACACTAGATTTTAACGTTTAGTAATAAATAATACCTCAGACTAAAATTAGGATAATATAATTGACATTTCTGGACTCCTTGCAGGTCAGGGAATATTTTGAACATGAACTTAATATATTTTGCACAAAAGATAAAATATTTGCTTTGTGTAAACCAAATTATTACATTAGATCTAAAATTTGTATGTCTAATGCAAAATCCATGACGTTTATATTCAAAATGATCATCATATTGTAAGAATTCCAGCAATGTAAATTATATTCTGGCCGGGTAATTTGTATGAATTTTATGAGCTAAAACAAATATCTTCAGTAAATAAACAAAGAAATATTCTTCAAGGACACTCCCTGTCAATCAAAGTACTCCACCTTGCCTCCCCCCCCCTCCTCACACTCATGCCAGCTGGTCGGTCGGTTCCAACCCTCCCCCCCCATCCCCCACCTTCCCTCCCTACCAGAGAAATGTTTGGGTGAAAACACTAGATTTTAACGTTTAGTAATAAATAATACCTCAGACTAAAGTTAGGATAATATAATTGACATATCTGGATTCCTTGCAGATCAGGGAATATTTTGAATGTAAACTTCATATATTTTGCACAAACGATAAAATATTTGCTTTGTGTAAACCAAATTATTACATTAGATCTAAAATTTGTATGTCTAATGGAAAATCCATGATGTTTATATTCAAAATGATCATCATATTGTAAGAATTCCAGCAATGTAAATTATATTCTGGCCGGGTAATTTGTATGAATTTTATGAGCTAAATAAAAAAAAAAAATTATATTTCACCGCGTATATGAGTAGATGCACCGCGGAAAGTGAAAGTCTGGTTCTGGCAAGGTACTGCGTAAATGAGAAATCGCGGAACGTAAATGAGAAATCACGGAAAGTGAAACCGTGTAAAGCGGGGTAATACTGTATAGGAAAATGTCGATAATTTTGGTAGCTGCGATATAAAAAAATCGTTATATAAAGTCACGATATATCCTGACCCTACTGTAGTCATTTCTTGGTAAAAGAAAAAATAAACTTGTTTATTAAATACAGTACCTCTGGTCCCACTAGCACAGAAACCCTACAAGCAGTTTGAAAATTGGACATTGTCATCCAGGATGCATAAAAAGAAACCTAGAAACTTTCATTGTTCTACACAGCCTGAAGCTGCAAAATATAAAAGTTAAAACTGATCAAAAATTTTTTAATAAATGTAATGTAAAAAATCAACAGAAGAGCTTCAAAATCAAATTACAAACTCTTGGGGTGCATGTAATGGAAGTCTCAAACTTGTCATTACTCTATACCAAGTACTTTTTTAATACTGTACTGTACTCCTTGGGCAAGATGAGAGTACAGTACAAATAAACAGAAAGAGGCATAACAAATAGTCTCATTGCATATGCTATGCAAAAAAAACCAATACATTCTATTAGGGCTTGAGCAATACCAGACACTGAAAACAGAATGAGAAAGAGAGAGAAATAAAAACATATGCAAGTGTCTCTGTGACCACAACCAACATTCATATGATGCAACAGGTGCGTATTACAGTGAAGTAAAATTATACTCTTGAATGGTGCATGTAATCAGTTCAAAATTTGAAGAAGCCTGTGATAAGAACACTTATATGAACTGCAAAAGGAATTAATGGATATAAACAGAAATTATGCACTGCTGAAAATATTCCCAAATATGACAAGGCATAACAAAAAGTAATATTGATAAGCACATTAATAAAAGTTCTAGAGACCCACAACCACAGTGAAGAGATGGTTATCCATCTGACACAACACATCATGCTGAGTGGTTATTTACCTAGGCTGCATGATATTGTTCTGCTTCTGGAGGCATGTCAATATGCTGTTCCTGAATGTGAGATGTTGTATTACAAAACATTAGGTTGATATACAATACATCTGAATGACTATACTCTTTATAATATACAGTATACAGCAATGCAATACTGGTAAATGAAAATTCCTTATAAAATTAGAACTCACTGAAAAAATCCTTGTGGCATTTATTATGGGGAAAGTATACTAATACCTGTACCTGTTGGAATAGACAGGTTGTCGGTTCTGGGTAAACACAAGAAATACACTCTGCCACGTTCGTAGAGCGATACGGTATATATAATTTGTAATAAAAGGTTAAAGACCTGCTATAATAGTAGAGATAAGTTTATTTCTCTAGAAACAGGGCCGCCATTTGCAATGATGTCACCACCTACCCCGCAGACGACGCTCTCAAACAAACTCACTGCTGTAATCGGACCCTAACAAAGGATGACCCTCTTCAGACCCAAAATGCCACGTTCAGGTAAGTTTTAAGGGTGTTTTTTATGGTCTAAGAGCAGAGATTTTCAACCAATGTGCTGCGGCAAATTAGAGTGCCGCGAAGCATCCGTAGGTGTGCCACGGGAGTTTAAATAACATTTGGATAGCATTTTAAGAAATAGCATTTGGATACGTTTTGACATTACTGGGACTTTTATGGAGCGCATATAGAACCCTGGCAATGTTTTCACACACTGTTTCCTGCACAGAGAGGCCCTCATTTCAAAATCAGTAGTATCTGAGCTCCAGAAAGTACTAGATGAGACGATCAAAATAGTTAACTATATCAAAAGTAGGCCATTAAAATCAAGGTTGTTTTCAACACTTTCTGCCACACACAACTTCTACTACACACAGAAGTGAGGTGGTTGTCTCGAGGGTGGGTGCTTTCGCGGTTTTATGAACTAAGGGAGGAGCTTCTTATATTTTTGACATCGTAAGAGTCTGAGCTGGCTGACCTGCTTAGTAATGAAACCTGGTACAATGAAGTTGCATTCCTGGCTGATATATTCCAAGCCTTGAACACTCTTAATAAGAGTATGCAGGGAAAGAATGAAAATATTCTGACTTGCACTAACAAAGTTAATTTCTTTAAGGAAAACTAACACTGTGGGGAGCCAGAATAAAAAAAGAAAGTTGAAATGTTTGAACTGACAAAAGGTTGCAGACTGGACAAAAATCTTGTCAGTTTAATTCTACAAAGTTTGTCGCTACTGAGTAAAAACATTGAAAAGTATTTCCCATCACTTGATGTATCTTCCTTGGACTGGGTGAGAGATCCGTGAGTGCGAGTCAGCAGGATTAACTGTTGCCGAAGAGGATGAGCCGACGAAAATCAGAAACGACAGAGGACTGAAACTGAAGCACCTATCAACAGATATGACTTCATTCTGGTTGTCCCTTCGAGAGGAATGCCCCATCATTACAAAGAAGGCAATTGAAGCACTTCTTCCTTTCCCAACATCGTATCTGTGTGAAGCTGGCTTCTCTGCCATGAACACAATGAAGAGCAAGAACAGGTCGCGGCTTCAAACACTGGAGGAGGACTTGAGGGTCTGCCTGTCAACCATTCGACCTCGGACAAGGAACATCATGAGACAACACCAAGCACAGGTTTCCCACTGATATTTTTATGTAAGCAAAGGCCTTTTATTTTTACTCATGTCTGTATTTGAATACAATCTATATCTGAAAGATTCATATTATTTTTTAAAGAATGGCATCTTTTTCAATGACATCTTGTTTCAATGTGTAGTATTAACAAATATGCACAAAACTTTCAAATTATTTTGAAAACCATGATCAACAATATATTTTTGCAATACAATTAATAAATTATTAGTTTTTTTAAATTAAAAACATATTCTTATCATTCATTTTCTTTTAAATGATCAAATCTATCCTTAAATACTGATGGTGTGCCTCGACCATTTTAGTGCCTGGGTCACTGTGCCATGAGATGAAAAAGGTTGAAAATCACTGGTCTAAGTCATGGACATTTCGTAAGTGAAGAAATGTGCCATGAAGAGCATGGTGGGTGGTGTGAGGTAGTGTAGTGGTAGTGGATGGTGTGAGGTAGGGGAGGGTGGTGTGAGGTAGGGGAGGGTGGTGTGAGGTAGGGGAGGGTGGTGTGAGGTGGTGTAGTGGTGGTGGGTGGTGTGAGGTGCTGTGGTGGTGAGTGGATGGTGTGAGGGTGGGGAGGGTGGTATGAGGTAGGGGTGGTGGGTGGTGTGGGTGCTGTAGTGGTGGTGGATGGTGTGAGGGGGGAGGGTGGTATGGGGTGGGTGGTGGTGGTGGGTGGTGTGGGGTGGTGTGGGTGGTGTGGGGTGGTGGTGGGTGGTGTGGGGTGGGTGGGGTGGTGGGGTGGTGGTGGGTGGGGTGGTGGTGGTGGGTGGTGGGGGTGAGGTGGTGGTGGTGGGTGGTGTGGGGTGGTGGTGGGGTGGGTGGTGGTGGTGGGTGGTGTGAGGTGGTGGTGGGTGGTGTGGGGTAGGTGTGGGTGTGGTGGGTGGGTGTGAGACTGTAGTGGTGGTGGGTGGTGGTAGTGGTGGGTGGTACGAGGTAGTGTAGTGGTGGTGGGTGGTGTGAGGTAGTGGTGGGTGGTATGAGATTTGATTTTGATTTTGCCGCTTACAGCGGCTACTTTATTGTGCACCCCACAGTCATCCTGTGAGCGGTAGCGCAAAAGGATTACAGAGTACAGTTTACAACGGGTCATAATAATTAACCCCCGTGGTCAGGATATTATGGCACTGAATATTACACAGTATTTCAATTACATTATTTGTTTAGTTCTATACACAAAGGGTAACTTATTCACAAATGTGTGAGTACAGGCATGTGAGGCAGTATGTCTGGCCTCACACTCTGTTATTCACATTTACGTGAGAAGTATTCAAGCACATTGTGTATTTGGTTCTGTACACGAGAACTGATATAGTTACTAAGTGCAAAAAAGTGGATACAATCTTAATATATCGGCTATCTTGCCATTAGAGATGAAGTGTTGTGTCATTTCACACACAGTGTGCTTGGTACTGTCCCTTAAAGGTTCTATCTTCACACAGTCGAGGACGTAGTGTTCAAGTGTGTGGCTATATGTCTGGCCACGTGAGGTAGTGATGGGTGGTGTGAGGTAGTGGTGGGTGGTGTGAGGTAGTGGTGGGTGGTGTGAGGTAGTGGTGGGTGGTGTGAGGTAGTGGTGGGTGGTGTGAGGTAGTGGTGGGTGGTGTGAGGTAGTGGTGAATACATAAGGATTCAAATACAAATCTATACAATATCTGGTTTTTAATCTATTAATAGTAACGACTACTGGAAATATACCAATACTCATTTTATTAAAAAATTCAAAATAAATATATATTCTACAGCTACTGTACTAATATTATACATGAATAACTCACCTGTGTCTTAGGTTTAGGCTTAGGAGGGACAAGAGCAAGTGTTACCTCCCGGATGATAACCTGAGCAAACTTCAACACAGCTCCATAAAGAGCATATTGTATACAAAGAGCTCCAAATCCCTGTAGAAGTAAACAGCAAAATAAATTAGAACCGTCAATGAAGGCTAGTACTCTATCTATCTCTTAAATCTTAAACTCATACAATCCATTAAAGAATGCTACTGTAATTATAAATAGAGTCCTGTATCTCCAGCCTACTGTATACATCATATGTTAAATTCAAATACTCCAAAATAAATGCCTATGTTGAAGGTACTGTTGGCATTGTGTTATTACTGAGTTAACCCTCAAAATATTAATGGTACAGTTGCGGAAATGTGTTCATAGACCCTTTGGTAACCTGTCGCCAAATGGCCAACCTATATGACCTCTAGCAAACCTATCCACCAATCATGTCCGTCGTTAAAAGACCAATACCCATTCATTCATAAACAGTGATACTACTACTGCGACACTGCTGTTTGGAGACATAGGTGTAGGAACACATTTTTGCAACTGTACCATTTATTTTGTTTACAAGTCCTAATGCTGAAGATGAAGCTATGGGATTTAGATTAAATCACCAATCATCTTACACATACAAAACATAAGTCTGGATAACCACTTACTAAACACATCCCTGGACAAGAAAGGTAAAGCCACTCTTTAAAATTATCTGTAAGTCTTATTACATGCTTAAAACATCTAACTTGTTATTCATGAGTATCTATTCTACATCAAGAATATATCTTATTTGCTTGCATTCAATGTCTTATATCTAAGTAGTTTATATATCTATATGTCTGATAAGGGGATCCTACCTATCTACCCTATAGTAGAATTTCCTCCAATAAGTTCCCCAACATGTATTGATCAAGCATGTCTTGCATACTGTAATTAGTCAGACCAGCTAATGCTGTTGACTCATTCATATCCTGTAGGCAGTTGCATATCATGCATCATATGATGGTTGAACACAAGTACAACACTGGAAGATGAGCCTTTCTGTTGAGCCTATAGAGGCATATGTAAGAGCCTTTGTGGTATAGATGTCAAGCAGTAAGTGTACAGCTGAAAGTGGGTGTCTAGCTTGGACACCCCGCTCAATACAACCAGATTTTAGCTCTCTGGCTGAAGTGAGGATACTAATAGAAGTTGTAATGCTTTATTTCCCATAAAATGTATTGTATCACTCAGTACCTACCTACAGGGTAGAAACGTTTTATTTTATTCTCTATATGTGTTAAATGATTAAATAATTTTTTTAACAATCCTAGCTATGCTCCTCTCCTTGACACATTCCAAAGGTATGTATATTATTTACTGCAGCATGTTTAGAGTGCCTAGTGGCAGCACACATCCAAATATCCACCCACCACCCACAAGCGGTTCTTCAGACCTCAAGATTGAAGACTCAATAAGATAGATGATGCTTGCAAGTAAATCAGAGCAGAATTCCAACAGCAATACTATCTTGCTCCTTCTGTGAATTCCCAATCATAGCATTTTGGCTTCACCTCTTACATTCATTTCCTTCTTTAACAAGACCTTTCACTTACAGATTCAATTTGCCCCCACACAACCAAGGAACACTATGCCACTATGACACAGTAACCAGCAGAGACAACCCCTATTACAAAGAGTATCAACCACTTTTTTTTTATTCACCCATCCCTAACTTTTCTTCACCACCTTTTATTCTATCTTTGACATTCTACCCACTGCAGTCGTCTGCCAAAGATCAAATCACCTTAAGGAAGTGTAATCGTCATGGAGGTTTACTGCACTAGGAACTGTTCTATATCTATTTCACTTTTATACTTACATAGATATGACATTGCACTGTTACCTTAAAGAGGCCCAAAACTCCCTCCTCTTGAACTGTAGTATGGAGACAATCAAAGAAGCCTTCATAGCGTGTGAGTATTGGTTTCACTTCATATCCTACATCCAAACTATCGACAATTGTGCGAGTACCTTGCATGTGGAGTCTGTGGAAAAATGAATCGGTTCACAAGCTAATGTTTATTTGTGATGTTTTGAATATTTTATCAATTTCTGCAAACTTTTATATTCCTTTCATCACTGATAAATAAGTAAATTACAATGTATATTTATCTATACAGTTTGTAACAATAAAATTTCTTCAAAGTTATGGACAATAAACACATTTCATTACCAACAAACAAAGTCAAATATATCATCATCAAACCTATGTAGAATAGTTTCCAGTGGATACAGCACAACATCGGATACAAGATGACCTATAAATGCGGATTGGAGTCGGACAGAGGCATCTAAAAAGGAACCCGAATCCTTACTAACAGCCCCCTGCAACATAAACATTGACATATTAATACAGTAATGGTATATTTTACACTGAACTTTTATTATGCAGTTATTCAATACACAGCATTTTACTAATTTTCTCTCCCTCCTCAGGCATCTGGAAGGGTCCATGCCATTTCTTTTGATATTTCATTTTGATGAACCTTTAATTAAATCTCCTTTGCATTCCTGACCAGTCTCTGTGGAATTCCTTTCCTCACAGTGTTTTGCTTATACAACACTATACAGTACTATTTAACTTATGTTAGTTCAAATTTTTTTTTCAAATATCTATTTAGTCAATTCTATTTACCCTGGACTTAATAGTGACACTCTTTGATCTCCCCCTGTGCCATTCAATGCAAAAAAATATATAATATCATAAATCAAAATCCTTATACAGTATTATATCTTTCATTGTATTCATTCTCTCTTCCCCCATTTTATAAATCCCACAGGTTGGGCAAAGTGAAAAGGATATGAACAAGTTCTCAGATGAGCCACTGTATGTAGTATCTGAGCTTGATAGTGACCTAAATGGCCATGTTGGTGAAAACACATCAGGTTATGAAGGTGTCGATTGTGTAAAAGGCTTTGGAACAAGAAATACTGAAGGTGGGGAATTATCTAGCAATATGCTTTCATTTACAACCCAAACATTCATCCGGTCAAACCGATAACTATAAGTGCATATAGTACTTTAATTTCCTAACTTTCTTTGATGTCTTCTAATTTTTTACACCAAGATCTGCTCTGAGATAAAATGTTAATATGTTCAACCAAAGCCAGGTAAAGTTGATAGCTAGTTACTGTATTTACTATATTATATAAGAGATTTGTCCATATCGTACTAAATTCCTGGCCAAGGAGGATCCTAACCACAGGTCCTAGAAGATGATATAAGTGATGTTTCCTATCATCTTCAACATGTTTCTTTACAAATATATGATGAGTCATATTACTTGTGCCTTCCTTGTACAGTAATGTTTTTATTACTTCTGTTACAAAAAAAAAAAATACTAATTACCTGTTTTTGTTGATCTTGTCTATGATAGCGTCTTAATATTTGAGATGTAATGGTTGACACTGCATTACCAATAAGGTACTGTAGAATACCATGAGATACTGTCGGAACTATCAGTAACCAGACTGGAAGCATACGCCCTGAAAAATTTGCAAAATTTAGAAATCAGAAGGATGCTTTTTTATCTTTCTCCTTACATAAATGTTTAAATTTTACTCAACTAAATTAAATAAAAGTAGAAGACAAAGTAAAATTACTGTCAGACAGCATATAATTGAAATAGACTTCAAAACAAAAAATAAGCCATAACTCATGCGAATGTGAAAGTGGTTCCCACAGGCATGGCTGCCCATTAAGGAAAACGTGGATGTAGTACACTGTGACTAAGCCTTCAGTATACAAGGAGGCAGCACAGTCGGTACTGCACTCGACTACATTCTCTTCCCCAAGTTGTAAACTTAGGTGTAACCTCGTCCAAATATTCAAACCATCCAACACATTTTGGTCCAAGTTAATTGAATAAAAATATACATAATAAACCAAGAGATATCTGCTTCCATTAACAAAAATCAACTACCTGTTTAAATAAATTACAAAGAATAAGTGCAATAAAAAGAGGAACAAATGCAGGTAGAGGAAATAAAGAAAGAGAAAGTAGCATACTGAAAAGAGAGACATTGCCTACATGACTGGTAAAAGGAGCAGACTTCTAGGCTTTGATACATGGCATCTTCACAACAAAAACTAAGCAGAATTGTGGTTGTTACAAAACAGGACACTTTATGAATTCTACATTACAAATTGAGCACAAGAACAGTTTGTTTTGGGCCCTGACAAATACTGTACTCCACACTGAGAGGTACTGATATTTCTGCTTTTGTTGTGAGGTCTCTCAAGTTTAGATAAAGAATATTTTATGAATTAACTTTACAGTACTTTGTTCATAGAAAATGGGGAGAAGTTCCTCTATTGCATATAACATGTGATGTATGGTGATGACTTAGTGCTGATAGAACTGAAAAGGTAAGACAATACTTAAGAAATAGAAAGATGAAAAAGAGTTAAAGGGTATAAGAGTGAATGTGACAAAAACAAAGGTAATGTTTAGTTTTCTATGATGGTAAGCAACTCAATAATGTCCAGTAAGTGTGGAAGATGAGTATACAAGAGGTGCAGTGGTGTAAATGGTAGATGGCAGGATGCTGCTGACTTTAAGTTCACTGTATTAACAGGTAATCATGAGGCTTTATCTAGGCTGGAGAAACTCAACATTGGGATTGTGCTACCTGGGAGACACGAGCAGTGCTGGAGGTGGTGGTGAAGCTAACTCAGTTGCAAGAGTCAGAAGGAATTGAAAGAAGTTGAGGGAGTTGCTGCCTTTATTGACAGCAACTAGATATTGTATGATAGTGAAACATGGACAGTTAAAGAAGATAACATACATAGGCTTCAGCAAATTGAAATGACAAAAGTAAGGTGGAAGAGTAATGTAACACTAAAATATAAGAAACCCTGTTCAGAGTTAATAGGCTGTGATGATAGTGGCCATGAAAGACATTTATCTACTTTATCCACTCAAGTTTGATCCATCTGTGATTTAAAAATGGCACTGAGAGACAACATATGCTTAGGGTCTTTTCATAGTGTGCTTGTTGTTTGATACATGTGTAAAGTTATTGTGTTACACTTCATGTACAGTATGTGCAATACATACAGAAAACAGATACATTTAAAAGATTTTTTTAACATTCATAAAATGGAATGAAAAGGGGTAGGGGTCAAAACACCTTTCAGTGGGCATTAAATGTGTAGCAAACTGCTATAAAGTGTAAAAGCATAACGCACACATCTCTAAGAGTGCTTGCTGTTATGAGTGATTTGTATGGAAAACATGTAGGAGTATGCCCTAGTTGTATAGTGTCACCCATACTTTACAGTTTAAATGAAATCCTAGCAGGTATACCTGTTTGTGGCTGTGTGAAAGAGAGAAGACGTGTTAGTCCCTCCTTAAACACATCCAGGACACCTGGTCGTTCACTGGCTATCTCACTCTGAACTGTTTCTACAAGGCTGGCACTATAGAAAGGAGTAATAAGAGCCAGAGCAGAGCACTTCAAGATTAAATGCTGTCCTATAGTCTTTGGAGAACTGTGCGGGGAGATCTCTCTGAAAAATAAGATGTAAACAAATATATAAGATGAATAGGTATTTGATCAACTGGTTTAGGCTATTCACATCATTACCATGAGAGAAGCAAATAAATACAAGTGTTAAAATGAAGGTAGGTAATTCACTTTAAACATTCCTTCCACTAAGTGATGGTTGTACAGTATTTCTTATTTTAATTCCAAATATTATATACTGCACCCATATATTATCTTCAAATCTCAACTACTGCATAAGAATAGTCCTACAGGTACCTCTAACTTCCATTTATGTCCTTATTTATAATTGTGATGTTCTTTTCATTGATATATTTCAGATTCATAATTTTTTTTCTCAAGTGTATGTCAAGGAGTCTAGGGATACTCATGATACAATACAGGGCATCCTCGCTTAACGTCGGGGTTACGTACCTGAAAACGCTACGTTATGCAAAACAACGTTAAGTGGATCAATTTTCTCCATAAGAAATAGATAAAATACGGGAGTTACGTTCCCCAGCCTCCCTTTGCCCCCATGAAAAAAGTTACATATGCAGAAAATCATTGCCATTTCTTTTGAGAATAGTACCTGTATATAGAACCACAGTACAGGTACTAAGTTTGTATTGGTAGTCACCGATGGGCGGAGATGGTAGAGCGAGTGTGTGGTGGGTAGTGGAGCGGAGGAGGAGGAGGGTGAGTGGAGGAGGGTGAGTGGAGGAGGAGGGTGGGAGCGGAGGTGGAGGGTGGGAGCGGAGGTGGAGGGTGGGAGCGGAGGTGGAGGGTGGGAGCGGAGGTGGAGGGTGGGAGCGGAGTAGGAGGGTGGGAGCAGAGGAGGGCGGGAGCAGAGAGGGCGGGAGAGGAGGAGGGTGGTGAGTCACTGAGACTCTGCGGCTGCCTCCTCCTCCTCCTGCTCTGACTGAGGTTCCTCTGCCGCTGCTTGCTCTTCCTCCGTTGTTGTTTGCTCCTCCTCGGCCGCAGTGTTGACTGCTTGGTGCTACTCATCTTCTCCTTATAGATCTCGGTGTAGCAACCAAGACTGTCCTCAATGCTGCGTTGAACCTTTGAGCTACGTTCTCTGTTTGGGTCGTCATCTAGAGGCATTTGCATTGCTTGCTGGAACATGTTCAAAGATTCTGCCATCCTTTTGGAAGTTAGCGTTTGTTGAGGTTCTTCTTCGTCGTCGTCGTCTTCAACGGGACTGTGTTCTGTTAATTGTTTCAGATCTTCGTTGGTGAGCTCTTCTGTATGGGATGATGGCATGTCCTCAATATCCTCTGATTCCAACTCATCAAAGCCTGCCTCTCTGCCTATTCACAGCTGGGACTAAGTCCGTGAATCCCGTAAAACTGTTGACGCACTCTGGCCACAATTTACGCCACACACCATTCAGGCAACTCTTTGAAACCTCTTCCCATGCCTTGCCAATGTTGTCAATTACATAAAGAACGTTGAAGCCGCACCAATATTCTTGGTTCGTTGGTTTATTTTCTCCATCTGTAGCCTTGAGCAGCTGGGTCATGGTAAGACATAAATAATACGCCTTGAATGCGGCGATGACGCCTATGTCCATAGACTGCATCAGTGATGTTGTGTTGGGAGGCAGGAATACAACTTTTACACTGTCATGCAAGTCGTCGAGATTGGGAGGATGAGCTGGAGCATTGTCAAGGATCAGAAGAATTTTGAAGTTAAGGTTCTCCTTGGCACAGTATTCCTTTAGTGCAGGGACGGCGTACACGTTTATCCATTGGCTAAATATGGCGCCGGTTATCCATGCCTTTTTGTTTGCCTTGTAAATGACAGGAAGGTGATCCTTAGATTAACCTTCTAGGGCCCGTGGGTTGGCAGCGCGAGAAATCAGCATAGGCTTCAGCTTGAAGTCACCGGCAGCGTTCGCGCCAAGCAGCAGCGTCAAGCAGTCTTTTGCCGCTTTAAATCCTGGCGCTCTTTTCTCCTCCTTGGAGATATAAGTCCTCTCAGGCATTCTCTTCCAAAAGATACCAGTCTCATCCACATTGAAGACTTGCTTCGGTAAGTAGCCTCCTTGTTTGATAATCCGTTTGAATTTTGGTGGGAATGTCTCGGCAGCAACCGAATCTGAACTGGCAGCTTCACTAGTCATCTTAATATTGTGGAAGTTATAACAATACTTAAATCGTTGAAACCATCCTTGGCTGGCCGTAAAGGTCTCTTCCTTCGATCCTTCACCCTCTTCTGCCTTTAAGTAGTCAAACAAGGATCTGGCCTTATGCTGGATAACCATAAGGCTCGCAGGGGCATTGTGTTGATTCTGGTCTTCCATCCACATTGCCAGCATCTTTTCCACCTTTTCTATCACAGTGCTTCTAGTACGAGTCATCTTAGTAGCACTCAGAGAAGAACCACTTCCAGCACTAACCTTAACCTAGTCAGTGTTGGTCCGGATAGTACACACCGTTGTGGGGATTAGACCAAGCACAGCGGTTATGTCCACAGCACGTTCCCCTTTTTCAAATCAGGTTAATACATCCATTTTGGTCGCAAGGGTAATGGTCTTATGTTGCCTCTTCACTACACTAGCATCAGTAGTACTTGATGGGTGCTTGGAAGCCATTTCGAGTGGTTCGAGAGTACAGTTTTAGAGTAAAAACACTTAAGCGCACACGAATGATGTGAAGTCGTAACAGAGACTGGCTTGGCGTCGCTTGGGGACGCTGTGACGTTCCGTGAGTGAGGGCAGTGCACCGAGCCGAGAGAGCGTAGCGCAACCAGACAAGAGCAGGTGATGTGCCGTAGAAAGTAGTCCGTGACGACGCAATACGACGTAGTATCGGATCACTGGGACGTTGAACGAATTTTTGGTCTCTAAAGTTCAGCAACGTACTGTAGTACCGAAACAACGTTAAGCGGGACAACGTTAAGCGAGGACTTACTGTATAGCAATAATTTGTATATAAGTTTTCTTTTCTTATATTAATTCAAACTGGTCTGTATATAGGGGCACTCACGTATATAATCACAATATGAACTATAAATGAAAAACATCATTACTAACTAAACTAACTTTATGAAACAACAAATGAAACCACATACTGTACTAACTTATTTTCAGAGGCTATAACAATTAAAATAATACCCCGGTAGTTTAACTCTACAGTATTTGGGTACACAATATATTGTACACAGTACTGTATGTACAGTATGTAGTACAGTAGACCCTTGAAATACTGTAACATGATTCAATACTAAACTCTCAATGTAACACAACAACCTAAATTACAGTAATTCCAACTTCATATTTCACAGTGTAAGTCCATAGCTCATTCATGAAACAGAAAAAATAAAAATAAATAAATAAAAATAATTTATTAAAAAAAATAAAATAAAAAAATAAAATAAATAAAAGTAAATAAAATATCAGCAATGATACAGTACAGCATTATGCTTAAAGCCCAAGTCTCTATAGTGATATCCACAGCTTATTCCTCATTTTCAAAACTTAACACATCTAATTTAACATCTAAACTTACACTTTTCAGTTGATTCTTCTCTACATGACAACATTCCTATTGTAAAATTGTACAATTTTAAGTTTCTAAGCTTATATTTCACATTTTGTCATTATTAGAGGCAATTTAGGGGTAAAAAGATTTTCTTGGGGAATGTTCTGGGACATATTTTTTGGAAGCTGCAGTCCCATACCCTATATTGTACCTGTATGTATTTTCAAATGGTACTACTCAGCCAATGTAATATGCACTTGTCATGCATTAGGCAGTTCTACACTTAACTGGTGTGTTTTGTGGGCAATTACTATTCCTCTCCACAACTTAAACCAAGTGCAACAATCACCAGTTACCATCAACACCTCAAGATGACAAAGCACCCTTCAAATGCTTCTTCTACCACTCTAAGACCTAAGAAACTTTATAACACTTTCTCCATTGAAGAAAAGTGGTGATCATGAGATGGGCCACCAGCACCTCCAGATGAAATCTCAGGTGAATTATAATAAAGTGTTTGTTTACGCAAGAAACCATAAAAGCTGTAGAAATTTAATTTCAATACTTTAATTTGACTTAGAAATAAATAAAATACAAAATAAAACAATAAAATAAGAAAAATTGAAAGTGGGGAGTGAATTGTGTGTGGGAGGCAGGGCAGTTACATGGTGGACTGAGCTTTCCCTTTCTCCTTCCCCAGTCCCCGAACGCTCGGAGCCCCTCCGTCTCCGACCTCCTTACTACAACAGTATGCAATCTGATTTTGCCATAACTTCCATAATATTTTGATTAATTTGGTACAGAACCAATAAAAAAATTATCATAACGTAACCAATTTTCATAAACAAAATCTCACATTTAACCCCAGATGAGTTATTGTGTGGTATTAAATTTCTGGTTCTTTGTTGACATACTGTGGTTACAGTCAACCCGTCGTCTGCCTTTCTCCATGTTGGTGTAATGGTGTAACCCACACAAAATTATAAGAAGGGAAGGAGCTGTATATGTACTATAGAACTACTCTTTGAAATATATCTGTGTAACTGTATTTTTTGATGTACTACAGTACAGGTATTATGTTTGATGGATATTTTTTGGCCTCTATAACCAAGCTAATTATTGCAATTTAAATCAATTAAACTATACTGTAATTTATGATTTGATAATTCACAATGTCTTCTAGTACCCATCTCACGAATTATCATGACTCCACTGGATTCATAGAGAAAATAAAACAAAATGTGTGTTTATCTCATGTAAATTCTGTGCATCAGTATGTGGTCGGATTTCATACTGCAAACATTGTCAGTCTGCTCAGTCTAGCAACTTTCTATATGCACCAATTGACCACGTGGTCAATAGAGGACAAAGTTCCTATAACTAGATCTTACTGGCTGTGACCACTAATTATATCAGATAAAAAGACCTTCATTACTAGGAAAATCAGATGCCGTGAACTCCATTAATGAGGTGGCTTACTGTATATCATAAATAACTGATATGTTAGTGATACTCTGGGCTATCAACCAGTGACATTGAACTACACGGTACAGTACAATGTTAATTTTCTCCTTACTTTGGCCATGGTGTAAATTTTGAAATGAAATCCTCTAGGGCCATGGTTACCCCTCTAACTGTGAGCACTGATCCAAGCCCTTTCCAAAATGCAGAGAATCCTTGGCATCCCTGCATGTGTATGAGGGCTGGCACAAGTGTTATTGGCAAGACATGGTAACGCTGGCTATCAACATTCACCTGGTAAAGAAATAAAGTTACTAGCATGTCTAACTCTGTGAACACAACTAAATGAATTTTCCTTATCAAGAAACATTGTTTTTAAAACATTTACTTCTACTTTAATGAAACAGTTAAAAACAAAATAACTGTACTTCAACTACAATATTACATGATCTTCAATTTATCTTGAAGCGTCTATACAGTATACCGTACCTGGCACTGCCTTTTGACCACAATAAAGGGATGACTAAGAAGATTTTCAGCACACAGGCTGACTAAGTTGATGGATAATTCTCCATACTTCTCCATTTGAATATCTGGAAAGAGGAAGTACATTACAGTATACAGTACAAGTGTATTGTACAGTACTGTACTGTATTTTACTTGCATGCAAAGATCAATGTTGTTATATTTCAAAGAAATTCTTCAGGCATTTTATCAATGATAACTGCATAGTATAGTACTGTATTATTGATATTAAACATATAAAACAATTATATAAAAATAAAAAATCCTAAAACAACAGCACATTCAACAGTCAGAATATAAATATCTTAGATGTACAAATTTCTTTTGGGACAAGTAAAGAAATACATACCGTACATCAAAGATGGAAAGGCTCCTGGCAACTCTGGAATAGTCACAAAAATGTTGAAACTAGCAGACAAAGCTGGTGTGACGATGGTGACCAGAATGATTAATGCAATTATGATGAAATGTACCACATTGTTCTAGCACTAAGTGACTGAAGGGCATGATTATGAATACTTACCTGAAACCGGAAACTTCAGGGGCCTGAAGCTGCTACATCAGGTTATGAAAGTTGTAGAAATAGTGATCAAGAAATTGATAAAGGAGATAGGGGACAAGAATGAAATGCAGTCTGGATTCATGACAGGCAGAGGAACTAGAGAAAATATTCAAGGCCAGGCAATTACAAGAGAAATATCTAGGGAAGGAGACAAAGCTGTACTTTGTAGACTTACAGAACAGAAGGGATTTGACAGGGTATCACATGAGGGAGTTCGGTGGGGAATTAAAAAGTTGGGGGTTGGAAAGTCTCTTGTACAAATGATTATGGCATAAGAAGGCTCGAGTAAGGTGAAATGAGAATGGTGAGATGGATGTGCATTGTGAGGTTGAGAGATAGGAAACCCCATTCAGAACTGGGCATAGAGGGGTTTTGCCAAGAGATAGGCTAAGATAGTTTGGGAATGTAGAAAGAATGGTGGAAACAAATGGGTAGGCCAAGAATGACATGGGGAAAGGCTGTGAGTAATGAACTCAGAAATAAGAACCTGATGAAAGAGGCTGCAAGAAACAATTCAGCTAGGAAAGCTACTAACAGGTACAATACTTACAACTAACCCACACAAGCATTGAAACTGACCATCATTATTCCATCATTATAGAAGACTCACCATTGCCTTTGTCCACATCAGGATCTAGTGGTTTTAGCATAACAGGTTTCATAGTTTGTGGGGAACTGTGTGCTGGGTTCAGCAGGTTCTGAGGAAACTCCGTTGGCCGACGGTAGAAGTCCGTTGTATCCATTGGCTTATCTCTATCTTCATATGACTTTTGCCAGAATGGAGTATCTCTCTCACGCAGGTTTGAGAAAAACTGGTAGTCATCAAGTCCAGCCATAACAGGAGCTATGCTATGGTAATTTCCTACAGAGAGCTCAATTCTATAGTCAGTTGATCATTTTCCCATTCAGGTCATTCCACTTGGTCTGAAAAAGATATGGATTGTTAAAAAAAATAATCATCAACCTTACTTTTATAACATGTTTTGAATCTACTCTTAACCCTTTAACTGCTATCATCATATACAGATAATTTAGTGCATCCTCCTCAGTCTATTTCAGACATAAAAATTTACATTGCACAATATACTTTCCACTGAAAATGTTGTGACAGCACCAAGTGTGAGCTACTGTAAGTCCACACTTTACTGACACTTGAACAAGTTTCAGCATATTCATGAACCTGTACATACCCACATACCCTGCACTTGCCAACAGTGCATATCAGAGGACGGACTGACTGGCTAGTAAGCTGACAAGTGGCATGAAATCAATGTCATTGCTCGTGTCAGGGTTATATCTGGTAATCCTGGAGCAGACAGCTAACACCAGAACACGTTTGATTGCATTCATTTTTTCTACAGATGTTTTTTGGCAGATAGTAAGTACAGTAATAAAAATGATATGACAATGCACAGAGCCTAATAAAACCTGACCTAATCAACCAAAGAAACCTACCTAATCTTACCTAACTTCTTAGCCCGGACTCCTTCCCATATTAAACAGAAAGTACAGTACAGTGGTACTTACTTTGATATCTGGTACCAGTAAAAGCAACTTTCTTAAAATGGTATAGTGTAATTTTACAGTTTTTGTGGACATGAGAGTACGCTTGGACCGAGTTTGTCGGTTGTAAGAAAACAAACAAAGCGTGGATGACAACACACGCTGACATGGCAAATTTTTCGAAGGGATATTTACAGTAAATAATTACTCGGTAATTTCTTTGTGTACAAAACACATAGTGACATCATTTTTTGTCATATGATCAGTTTTTCAGCATGTTTTACCCCGTAATTTCTCTCATCCTTCATACCCTGTCCACTACAGGTAATTTATGATTGTAGATAGAGAAAACCCCCAAAACATTGGTTAACATTGACGAATAACCCGCGGACTAGTAATTTGTTTTCTATTTATTTATCTAACTCTTTATTTGCATCAGTAAGATCTGATATGAGAATAATTTATAGTGCAAATGCTTCGGTTCGCCTAGGTGCGCACTAGTTTGTCTTCCCAGTAGTAATGATGCAAAGAGAAGAGTCCTCTCTTCCCCGCTGCAGTTTCATTTTCAGCATGACGTGTGAAGGTTGTTGCCAGTCTTATATGGATGTAATTTGCAAATTTAGGGATAAAGACAACAAGACCCTTCAGTTTTTCAAACAGCACGGCATCGTTCCTTTAAATAGAAAGTATTTTTCATAGCAATACTGTAATAGAACTGGGTTTGTGTGCCAAGTCAGTTGTTAATTGGAAACAATCATTCATCACTTCCTCCCGTCATTTCAATAACAAATCTACTTTGCCACCCAAACTGTATAAGTGCCGATGCGGCCAGCTGGTCTCACGTCCAGAAAAAACCTCAAATTACACCATATCATAGTAAGTTCTTTCTGTTTAATATATGGGGGAGTCCTGGGGGGGGAGCCCCCCCAGTATGGAATTTAGGTAAGGTTAGGTATGCTTGTTTGGCTAGGTTGGTGATGGTCTGTTTTTCATACCCACTATACAGTAGTTAGGTTACGTTTATTTTAGATTATTTTTTTAACACATTTGAACAAACTGCAACATTGTCCACTATAAAAAAAAGTGAAATCAAGGCATTTTAAAAATCGTTTTCTATGAATTTCGGCCGCGGATTAGTCATCAATAATTACCAAACCATTAAAAAAATATATAGTACAGTTGTAAACATGTAAATAAAAAAAGTTGTCATATCATTTTTATTACTTTATATCACCCAAAGAACATGTCAAAAAAATTAACGAAGTCAAACAACTCCTTCTGGTGTTATCCATCTGCCTCAGTATTACCGAAAACCATATTTTAGTAATAAATTTTCTGTTTTTGCACAAAACGGTTCTTTACTGTTAACTTTTTTGGAGTAGGAGTTATAAACTCTTGGAATAACCTGCCAGAGAGTGATGTGAAAGCTCCGAGAGTGCGCTCATTTAAGGCCAAACTTGAAAAACACTTGTACAGGATCAGGTACAGTACTAGTTATTCTGGGGCCAGTACTAGTACTTGCTAACAGTGTAACAAAGGAATGACGGACCACCCAAGCAGTTAACAGATCGATCAGTGTTAAAGGGGATAAAGTAAAGAGGGCAGTACTGTACAAGATTTCTGCAGTGTAAGAGTTCTGCAAAAGAGCTTGGCTAAACAGCTTGTATGTATTTGACAGTCAGTTCTTAGCAAAATAGTCTCGATTTGAGAACTAGTTCACAATAAAATAGTATGTCTGTGTCTTATAGCAAATGCAGAAAAATACCTATTGCTAAAACATACAGGTAAACAACTGTAGGTGAACTGTATTTTAACCACCCAGTACCATCTTCACCACTGTACGACTTCTTGTCCTCACTACACTCAGTTGACAATCCCCTCGAAGCTACCACACCATGGTAACTATATGGCTGTATCTTGTGTTAATCATTACCTGGTGGTGCCTATGGCAGATTAACATGCTAACCACTTGACTGTAGCCAGTTTTCTCACGTTGCTCGCAGCTTCCACCACCTCCCATAGGCATGTGCAACACCGCCCCTGTACGACTGCTGTAGATCTTACAATGTAAAGCTACATAACAGTAAATAATCACAAAATATAAAGACAATTTTGAGGGATAACAGCAGACGATACTACAAAACAACACGGATCAGCTGATTACGTCGCCTGGTTCACCTCTCCCAGACCCCTCAGTGTTTACTCTAGGACAAACAACACCTACATCTTATATCACATTATTGTTATCAAACATTCCTTGAATATTTTATTATACATATTTCTTATTGTGACTGTGAGCCCCATTGTGAATTTTCTTCTGTCGATTTTAATGTTCCAATTATTTCATGTCCGGTCATTCAGGATATCTGCAAAGTATTATAAATCACCACACGTCAGTATACTGTGCAGTTTACCTCGAGTAACAACATCCGCACACAATTCTATGTAAAACTTCATATTGTTGAATATTAAATTCAAAATGTAAAGGAACATATACTGCATCTATTCTATCTTTAGAAACATACACGAACTATACTGCCGATAACAATACATATCAGTTAATATAATGTTATCTACAGAAATACACACACTAACTAGGAACCGATAGGAACACACAAGAGCTAAGCTATCAATAGAAATACACAAGAATTGCAACAGTACTGTATACACGCATTACATGTATACTAAAAAAAAAAGAAACACGTGCACTGTATGCTAGCGACAGAAACACGCAATATTGCTTGAGGCATCAACAATGAAAAGGCAATTTTACCTTTCCATTGAGCAATGTACAGTACAGTGTAATATGATAGGCATAGCAAGTGAAATTGGTGTCTGTAATATAGTGTGTTTATAAAAAAAATATGCCGGGCTATCTCAAGTTAAACCATCTTGGAAATAGTTAAACGTCTATACTAATTAACTCTGAATCTTAATAATAGCCAAAGTTAAAATATAAAATGAATACATACTGGAATACCATATGCAATATGTTAGGGACCTAGACGTGATTTTAACTAAATGTGGAAATTAGAGAGAATAAAAAATTAACAACTGGCCTAACTCGTCTTGGGAGAAAAAGCTAGTCCGTGTCACCGTTCGTTGGATATTTTCATTGTTACGCAACTTAATATGCAAACACCCGGAAGAGTGTGAGTTTTATATACAGTAAATGGATAGTTACTTTAATTTTTACTTTTATCCTCTTCGCCACTGATCGGTTAATTTACGAACCTTCCTGCTGTAAGTGAGGTGTGATTACTCCTTGTGCTATAGTTATTTATTATGTTACTGATACTTTTTGTGATTTCTTACGCTACTGTTATTTATTATGTCACATTGTTACTGTTACTTATTATGTACTACTGTTACTTTTTATGTTACATTTACTTTTTGTGATAGTTATTTCTTGGGTTACCTTTCCTTCCTATGTTACTTCTTGTTATATCTTATTGTGTTACTGCTTCTTGTTGTGTTACTATTACTCCCGATGACAGTTAATTTTGAGTTACTTGTTATGTTGCTCTTATTCCTTGTGTCACTGCTACTTGTGATATTGTTACTTCTTGTAGTGTTATTGTGACTCACCAACACCTAATATTACTCTGCCTCACTCAACAGTATAACAAAATAAATTAAACTAATATACTGATGACCTATAACTAACTTGGTCACAACCTTGAGGGGATATATGACCTTGCTGGCTACACATGGCCAGTGATGCAGGGTGTGCGGACATCAACGGGTGGTCGCTGGCGTGTAAAGTATTTAATATATTGGTGGCGGAGGTGGTGTGAGGTGATCGATACTGGCCGCTGGCGTGTGAAATATTAATGGTGGTGGTGTGAATTATAAGTCCCGTTAAGAAACTACAAAATATGACGAGTGAGAAAATTAGTGCATTGAAAACGTTTTCTGGCTCCAAGCAGCTGCATTATCAAGCCTTTTTCTATAATAGTCTTTGCAGTGTTGCCAAGATTAGAGCACCACTAATGACACACTCAATAATTGTTTAATGTATGTACAAATTTAACGTAAAACAGTAAGAACAAAATCAATCTCAACAACACACAGGCACCCACCCCAAAGCAACCGTAAATGGGTGCTACGTTTTACCTCCGGCTTGTATAGCGGATGAATTGATTAGCATTCACTGAACTGTATCCGTGCTATTGTACTGTATGGTACTGTAGTGGATTCCTCCCCTACAAGCGCTTTTGTCGCTGAGTAGCCGACCCCACGATTTCACCAGCCTGCCCTCGTGGTTTAGGTCAGCAACCAGCGCCGCCTTACATAACTGAGGTCAACTATTAAGCCACGCCTACCTCCGCTATATAAGATCTCACCTCGTGGTGACCTGCCTCTTTCTACCTACAGCCAGTCTTCAAGCAATACCTCCTCCTCTGCTCCTGCCTGGCGGACCTGCTCCCGCCGGCGACCATGGCGACCCACAAGCTGGTCCTCCTCTGAGCACCCTCACCAACCATCTCTCTCTACATCACGCTTGTAACCACGCTGCCACTCCCCAGCACCAAGCTGCATTGTACATCTAATACAATATGTATACAGAGAGCACATTGTGAGTTTCCTTTCTCCAACCCATCCTGAGTGTGAACCAATATCTCCAAACCCCACAGTATCGCCCTCAAAGAGTTATAGCTTCAATCCTCCTCCTTGAGTTATAATTGTCTAAACCATTGTCCTTGAAGTTTATTACTTTTACTTTTTACTTTTATCCTCTTCGCTACTGATCGGCTCGTTAGCCGCTTGGGCAGTCGGTCACGTCTCTGTTACGCACTGTTAGCAAATAGTGGAAATGAACTGGCTCCTGAATGTAACCTGGACCTGCTCCAGTGTTGGTCAAGTCTGCTGTCTTGAAAGAGCTCACATTCGGTGCCGTCACAACACTCTCGAAACTTTGTGAATCTCGACCCAGATTATTAAATTCGTATTTTTCCCCCTCCCACTGGAGTTTAGAACGTAACTAGTTACAATGTAAGAGTTTTAATGCACTGTCAATATTAAACCACTATATTAACTATGTACGTTGCCCCAGCTCGTCATACACGTTCCCATAAGCAGTTGAGCGTAACAAATTAAATATATATATATATATATATATATATATATATATATATATATATATATATATATATATATATATATATATATATATATATATATATATATATATATATATATATTATTTTTTTATATTTTTTTTTATAAACCTCGATAATACAAGTCCAGGAGCGTATATTTTCACCTATAACTTTCTACTCCACAAGGCACAAACTTCAAAGTTTAATAATTATTGCTTTCCTGTTGATTTTAATAGATGTTTCTGATACGAAGAAAAACCATAAGTTCTAATCATCACTATAGCCATGTAGTATTTTCACTGGATTAAGGCAACCTAGACGAACAGCAGAAGCGTAGTCAAACACTCAGCTGCACGGGGCGAAATTAATGTTGACTCACCAAACAGCTTTACCTTGATTATAAAAAAAACTAAAATGGATTCTGGCAGATTTTGCTAAGTACATTGGATATATTTTTGGACTGTAAGAAATGTCTTCATTGATATTTCTAACGTATCCATTTAACACTGATTTTATCGTGTGACCTTGTTATACTGTATTTTCCAATATCTGTACATGATTATAGCTATCAGCTGTGCCTCCTAATTTACCAGCGTCCCGTTTAACTAGACTGTTGCTCCACCAGTGACCCGTTCAAGTTTAACGAGTGTTGTTCCCTCTGTGACTCCTTTGCGTGGGTGATGGCTCGAGATAGTGATTATGAATTAATGATATGGTCAGTCATGGAGACTTGAGTGACTGTCACCACCATGAGTGTTGACTGGCGGAGATATTATTTTCTCTACAGTTTCGCAACAATTTTTTTCAGATGTTCTTATTTAGGATTTTTGTTTTTCTTTGTAGGAAGTCTTTATTTTAACCATCCTACACGTAGTGTGTTAGTTTTGTTTGGTACAGTACAAGCGCGAGTAATAAGTGCAAGTGGCGCTAAATATAAAATATTCATGAACTATCCACGGATGTACTGTACCGTAGACCGTACCGTACACACGACCGCATACTACACACATATAAGGGTCTGCTTTCCAAACAAATACGGCTTTGGTTTTTCTTTTACGAAAATTTCTTCATGGGTTATATTTATCTGAATTAGAATGCAGAACGTAACGTCGATGGTGATATTTGTTGAATCCAGGTGTATTTATTTCCACTTAGGGTATTGGCTCACATTCGCTGAGGTCGTACTTGGGTTTCCTCGCTGTCACACCTTACCAACCACCAACCCAATGCTCCGTAGATACAAAACACGCACCCACTTTTTCTCTACCACTGTACTACGCATACAGTATATATTAGGGTGCGGCAAAAACCGTATAGGGATTTGTAGTGAAATTAACACAAAATATAAAGTTCTATAATAGTGGATCGTTGCTGTAGTGTTCGCCTGTTCCTGGTTTAAACTTAAAAATGCGTAAATATATAATGAAGAAGAGAACCAGGGAAAACACAAGCACCTTGCCTATGTTGAGATTATTTATAAGTTAACGCCTCGCAAAATCATTTTCTATCATAAGAGCCTAGAAAACAGACAAAAGCTTAAAAAAATTACAGTTAATATACAAGAAAAACGAAACACTATTCTAAATTTTACCTTCCGCAAAGCTTTTCATAGTAACTTAGCATTATAATTTACAACCACTAATATGACGAGAGACACAAGTACAAAACCAAAAAAGGAATAAACTAAAACATACAGGAGGTTTACCATAACTGAGTCGAGCCTAGTGAGAAAACAATAATTCACAGGAAGCCATATCACAAATGGATGGTTTTGCTTTGTATTGATGTGTGTGTGTGTGTGTGTTTTTGGTGATGATGAAGTGATACATGGCTGGAAACGGTGCGAAACCCATCGTCTCTCAGTCGTGTTGTCGCCTTGGTCGCTTAGTTACCAATGTAAACATTCGCGGCCCCTCCTGTCACGTAGAGGCTCGCTCCCACCACCACCAACTGCTGATCAACATTCTCCTGCTTGACACACCACGATCAATATCCACTCAAATATCTTGGATTGAATTTTGGTACACATTCAGGGTGTAAAATTACGCCTTTAAGGGTTAATTGAGTTTTGGTGGGTTACGGTGATGTCTGCTCGCAAAATACCGATATCACGATATAAAAATGTCTCCCTGTTTAACATATTTAATGTTTAAAGTTCTTTGGCACAAAAGTAAAAATAAATTGTTATAGAACTTCATGATAAAACAGATATGAAGATAATTAACTCAGGGAAGACTTTAGTTGTGTGTTGGAGATGATTAGTGTTGGAGAGGAGTAGAGTGTTAGAGAGGGGTGAGGAGAGACGTGGAACACTACACAAATCACTGTATAAGATCAGGCAGCATAAGTAATAAGAGCCATACAATAGGATGCAGTTCTTTATAGTACTTTAAACTCTTATTCATACAAAATAGAACTTCACTCAATAGGACACTTTTTAAATAAATGAAGATGTATTGATATTAACATTACTAGCTATGTGAGCACAACATTTCCTCGGGATGTTTTGATTTAAGTAGTGTTGTGAGGTCAAGAGGGTCAGTTTTATCCACCAACATTAACTCTGCAATAAATTCTGTGAAAACGAATCTCGACTCACAATACACAAGTGATAACGTACAGTTGCAGTCAGAATTCCCATGGCACTTGGTACTATCTGGCATCTATTTGTAGACTGTATGTGTGATTATTTTATAGATGGTCAACGCTGCTTTTAATATAGATTACGCTAGAATTACAACATGAAAAATCACTCCACAGTGCAATGAGAATCTGAGTGAATATATTTTTAAATAATTCTTCCTATTATTATTACTATTATTACCTACATGACCCAGTACTGAAGGTGAGGCAGACTGTAAGAGGCGACACGACATACCTCTTCAGGCTATTCACGGATACACTCATATTCGGTGCACAAACACGTACGCAAATTTATTTATATATTCGTATGTGTGTGTCGATACACCGGGCAAATAATATGCAGCTCTAGGTCAGTCACAGAAGAAACTTGATAACCAACCAACAATTGATGATATAACCTTAACAGTTTACAGTAACGTTGCATATTCCCGCGAACTCCGCCATCCAGCTTTGAAACACGTTAAATTACATCTTTCATCTGATCATCACAAGCCCATCCCCTGGCCATGGTCGTCCCTAGTCCTTCCACAACATTAAATATAAACATCAGTGACGAAAACTACATTTTCCAGACATGAAATAGAGAACAGTGATGAAAACTTCCACGTTGGAGTTATCGTTCTTCTGCATCCTTTTGGCACCCAGCAAGTAAATACACACGATGATACTTGAGCAGTTTATCAACATTGCATATGGCCATAAGTCCTGTATTTCAGCCGGTAACAACACATACACCACAGCTGGCTGGCTCCAGGATCCAGGCTCCCTCTCGGCGGCTCGAGCAGGTATATGACGTCACAACAAATCAGAGCTTTTCGCAGTCAGGTGACTTTTTAGCTGTTTTAACCTTTAATTTGTTTCACCTTTTGGCCCAATTTATTGAAAAATATCATTACCTTAGTGAATTTAAGCCTTTTCTTTACCCATTGACCTGCCATCTTACGAAAAAATTCCGACCTATAACTCGTCCATTCCAGAGTTCCTGAACGTTTAATTTGTCTCGTAACAACAGGATATAGTCAAGGAAAGGCGTAATTGTAATTTTGAGGCTAATTTTGAACGTTATTATTGTGTTTTAGTTCAAGTAAATGAGTTGGCTTTATTCTTACACCAGTAGATACAAGGAATGTTGATTTTGCACAATTGTGATTTTGCGAACCTTTGAGAATAATACTGTACACGGTGACAACAATAGTTAACTACTTCGTTGTTTATAGCTTTAGCGATGTTGTATAGCGGAGTATTGTTTACCGCTATGGTTAAATACTCTGTTATTTATGACTGTACCAGTGACACTTTGTTTTCTTTCTTCTTTGCAAAGTGAAGTCATTATCATTCATTTGTCATCCTCGTCGTCTGTTATCGTTGATGGAGTTACTGAATGATTAAAATCGTTTGTTAGTTTATCTAGGATCAACATTTTTTTCTTCATTATTTATCTATTGATTTAAGTAAAGATCAACAGTATTCTATTGTTTTCCCTGAAGATCACTATATTCCTGTTGATTTAATTAGAGATCAGTACAGTACTTATTTACTTCTTGTTCTAAAGACACGTATATAATGCAGACTGTACTCTATTTACACACACATTCACACAAAACTTCTGTCGTTATCATTCCTTCTTAATATAAGCTCCCAAATATGTTAGCTGCAGTTCGTGACACCAAATCCACTAACCTAAGCAGGTAATCAGTCACTCGGCTTGATAACAACATGCGTGGGTAATTAATCTAGTGCTACCCTAAGTATTAACAGACATAATTAGCTGACCCATACACACACCAGCAACCAACCGACCTCCTCCACTCCCCCCATGGTTAATTGATCGTGGACTGATGACCCATGATTGACTGACTGACTGATCGAGTACATACAGAAGATCCACTTACGATCTCTCGCAGTATTTTTCCATCTATCATCTTCATTTCCCCCATTCACTCCTCCTTTGCCTAATTACTTTTTTTTCGTTTAGTCCTCTCTCGTTTCTTTTGCATTTTATGACTCTTCACCTCTCTTTTCTTCTGTCTTCTCTCTCCCTGTTTTTCTTATCTTGTGTTTTCCTTCTCCCCTCTCATCCTCTATTCCTCCTGCTCCTCTTTCTTCTTCTCCTCTTCCTTGTCCTTTCCTCCTCCTCCTCCCTCTCATTCTTCTTCCTCTCCTCTCCTTCTCATTCTTCTTCCTTTCTCCCTCTTCCTTCTTCCTCTGCTCCTCCCCTCTTCACGACTCGATCCTCTTAAATAATCATCCCATAAGCTGATTCACCCGAGTTATTTTTAGAGTTTAATGAGACTTTAAAAACTGTGACGGGATAATGGCAAAGGAAGGTCCTCATCTATATCATGCAAGACCTATAGACGCAGCATGTACAGTTGGCGCCACTCCCGCATGCACCATTTAGCGTTGCCAGTCCTCTTTCTCCCTGAGGTGTGAACTCTGAAGTGTGGAGTCGAAGCATTTGTTAGTGAGCAGGAGGGAGAGGGGTGGGGGTTGGTTGGGGTAGGTCTCTTTCCCTGGGGGCAGACCGGGAACTCAGGGTGAGGAAGTAAAGTGCACGTCAGTGGGGAGAGATTACAATGTAGAATAACGTTTTCATAATACCAACGGGGTTTCCTCAGCGCTGGCCAGATGAAAATACTGTAATAAAGTTACAATAGGTTGAGAGGAGGATGAATTCATGTTCTAAGTAAGTATTCCATTGCCAAAAATGAACATTTATGACCAAATGGATTATGGATATGTTTCAATCTTTGTAATTGTAATAATTTCATATTTAAATCTATATATTTTTAATATTTCTAATGACCCTCTCTTTAACATTAAAACAGGGGGCTTCTGACCTATTTTGCACTTTTACTGAGGGGTTTTGTCCCAGGGTTTTTTGTTCTAGGGGCCTTTTGTCCGGGGCCCCTACCCCGATACACCCATCCCCTCCCATTCCTGCTCACTAGCAAATGTTTCGAATTCACACTTTAGAGTTCGGGGTTCACACCTCAGGAAGAGAGAGAGGATGGGCAGCGCTAAGTGATATTTACGAATGAATAACACACACACACACACACACACACACACACACACACACACACACCCTATAGTGTGATGAGCTGACAATAAACATTATACGACACGATTAGATAATACGACAGCACCTCCCCCTGGTGGCGGTAAGTCAACACTAATCTTATCGGGAATCCAAGTCAGGGATTATGTATTGTCGTGTGTGTGTGAGCCCTAGATGATACAGTTTACCTTTCTATTGTTTTATACGAGAAACAATAATTAACGTCATCTAATATCGTCATTGGAGAATTACGAGAAATACGGACCAGCTTGTACGGTGTAGGAGGAGGACGCCTTTCCGTAACATCTTCTGGTAGTAAACGAGATTACTTAACCAGAATGTACAAAACGTCTTATGATAACGAAAGAAGGAAATGACTCCAAAGATACCGGGAACAGGATGCACAGAAAGAAAAGAATACTGTTTATTTTATGTTTCAAATGAACTCATGATGGAGAGTGTAGGATCAACGAATTTCAATTATTTTGTTAGTCCGTACTGACAGGTAAGACAAATATCCCAAATACAGATAAACAAGACTGGTACTATATGACACAATTGTACTCACGAGATAAGCAAAAAAAAAATGGTGATTATCATTTGTTACGCTATCCTGTATTCACCTGACAATACAGGTTCACCTGTGTGCACCAGTTAGTGTGGTGCCGACCAGCGGCGCGGGAGGTCGCCGATGTGATCACTCTGGCACTCCCTCACACACGCGCGAACATACACACACTTACTCGTCAGACTCACACAATGATACACACACTAAAGGGATCAAGTGTGTGTAAGTGTGAGCACCTTGTTAATAACAGCTACTAACGCCAGAAGAATTACTAAATAAGTATTAAAGATGTACATTAAGAAACACTCACATCATGGATAACATGTTGAATGTTGTGGAGACCCTGCTAACACGGCGACCATCACATGTGAACAACAGAGCGAGGGAGTGAACCTGAGACGACCTGTGCACCTGTCAGGTAAGATGGCCAATTATCTTAGACTTTGAAATGTTAGATAAACCATATTAATATATCAATTACTAATAGTCACCACCTAACAGTAACAGTCATCACCTAACAGTAACAGTCACCACCTAACAGTAACAGTCACCACCTAACAGTAACAGTCATCACCTAAGTAACAGTCACCACCTAACAGTAACAGTCACCACCTAACAGTAACAGTCACCACCTAACAGTAACAGTCACCACCTAACAGTAACAGTCACCACCTAACAGTAACAGTCTAACAGTAACAGTCACCACCTAACAGTAACAGTCATCACCTAACAGTAACAGTCATCACCTAACAGTAACAGTCACCACCTAACAGTAACAGTCATCACCTAACAGTAACAGTCATCACCTAACAGTAACAGTCATCACCTAACAGTAACAGTCACCACCTAACAGTAACAGTCATCACCTAACAGTAACAGTCACACACCTAACAGTAACAGTCATCACCTAACAGTAACAGTCACCACCTAACAGTAACAGTCACCACCTAACAGTAACAGTCACCACCTAAGTAACAGTCACCACAACAGTAACAGTCACCACCTAACAGTAACAGTCACCACCTAACAGTAACAGTCACCACCTAACAGTAACAGTCACCACCTAACAGTAACAGTCACCACCTAACAGTAACAGTCACACCTAACAGTAACAGTCATCACCTAACAGTAACAGTCACCACCTAACAGTAACAGTCACCACCTAACAGTAACAGTCATCACCTAACAGTAACAGTCATCACCTAACAGTAACAGTCACCACCTAACAGTAACAGTCATCACCTAACAGTAACAGTCATGGAGAGTTATAGGGAGAGTTATAGTGATAGTTATAGGGAAAGTTATAGGGATAGTTATAGGGAGAGTTATAGGGATAGTTATAGGGAGAGTTATAGGGAGAGTTATAGGGATAGTTATAGGGATAGTTATAGGGATAGTTATAGGGAGAGTTATAGGGAGAGTTATAGGGAGAGTTATAGGGATAGTTATAGGGATAGTTATAGTGATAGTTATAGGGAGAGTTATAGGGAGAGTTATAGGGATAGTTATAGGGAGAGTTACAGTGATAGCCTCAGTGATATTTTATATTGTGTAGCGGCACCCATTATTTACTAATGATATTTTACATGTTGCATTAAATGGACTTCAGTGTTATATTACGTGTGTTTTGGTGTCTCTTTTTGTGATATTGGTATTTGGGGGCCCACTAATGAGTTTGGTCTGGGGCCCACAAGTAGGTAAATCCGGCCCTGGTTATATTGATAGTTATAGGGAGAGTTATAGGGAGAGTTTAAGGCACAGTTATAGATTGATTTTTAATTTGGCTCTTACAGCGGCTACTTTATTGTGCACCCCACATTCATCCTGTGTTATAGAGATAGTGCAGTGTGTGTGTGTGTGTGTGTGTGTGTGTGTGTGTGTGTGTGTGTGTGTAGATAAAACATCTTGGTGGGTTAAAGCTGTAGTAGTTTGTCCAACAATATAATCAGTGTAGTGCCGGGTGGTGGTGGTAGAGGTAACCTGAAGCCGAGTGCCACACGTTGACACTCGATATCCCTGGCACTGATGATCACCAGGGCCACCAAACACACCCACAACACAACACTCCCAAAACCCGACTCGCTCTATTCGATCTGGTATGCCCAGCACCGACCACCAAACTGACAGTATTCGACTTAGTCCGACTTGGTGGCACTACATAATGACCAAGACCAACCAGTTTGGTCTACCTGATGTACTGGCAACACCGCTTCTTGTCCTATTAATTAGCGAAGTTAAGCAACGTTGGGTCTGGATAGTACTTGGATGGCCCGAAGAACACCAGATGCTGTACTGGAAACAGGTCTCTCGTGGTTTTATCAGCTGTCCTTGATTGAATTGACTGAATATCAATTATTATTATTAATACTGACTCACAAAATCCAGAGTTAGTCAACGAGATTCTGAGAACGTAACCCGGAAAACTGTACAGTACCACTATTATGTTAGCCTGATGGAACCTGACATAAGGATTCAGTTATGGTTCGAACAGTACATCTCACTTTATGGAACGTGATCAAACCTTCAAGAACGATAAGAATGTTTTGGCTAGTCTTGGTGATGGTGTAGATAAACGTCATCACTCCTGAGGAAGAAACATTATGACTCATAGTAAACGTAAATACTCTCCAAGAAGCATCAAAATATTTCTAACAAAATCATTTATTCCTACCAACTATCGACTTTCTCCTGAACCACGAATGAGGTCCAGAAGAGTGTTGGAGCAGTTAACACATTGTCTCATCTCCACAAACAGACGCTTTACACATACTAACAGTTATCAAACATCATTATTTTTCTATTTACGTAAAACACGAGAAGTATTCCTTACACTGAGACGTATCAACACACTTTGTACATATGTTGAGGCTCGGCATCTGTCAGGCCTCATTACCATCCCCCACAGTCTGGCAGCCAAACCCTCATTATTTAGTCAATCTGAATATGTGGGGACTGTGGGGTGCATAGTGTTTCTTCCTCTTTGCATCTTTCAAGTGTTCTCATTCAGAACCTGGATGATGCCGCCTCAGTACCCTTGAGGAATTTGAGATATTCCAGGTGGTGGCCATATTGGATTGTTCTGCTGCCAGACCTGAATTAGAGTCACGTCTGGTGAATGGGTCACCTTGCCTAAGAACACTGACTGTGACCCAGGGAAATTTCTACTTATGGTTGAGGTGAGGTGTCGCCCCTACTTGAACCCAAGCTTAACCACTTGACCAGTCCCTCCCGACAGACATAAAAATTACTAAATAAATTTGTAGTTCCTAAAGATCCTAGACCACTGCTGGGTGAAACTGGTTACGGTGATTGATAACCATGGCAGATGAATCAACTAAAACAATTAAAACAAATCATCAACAGTTTTTTGGTGGAATTATTCATTAAATGCAATTTGATATTAATGAATCACAGGTGGAAGAAATAATACTCCTCCCTTGTTATAATTTTATGAATATATCTATGATGTTACTCTATTTATACTGTAGTTTTTATCCGTTGATGTTACTACCTGGTGTGTGAATATCAGTACAGTTTAGCTACTTCTGTCAACTGAGTATTATGGTGAAGGATTGAGTACTGAGTGAAGTATGTGCCTTATCGATAGAGTAGATTCTGAAAACTCCGTAACAAAGTGAATATTTTTGAGGTATAGTCGGCGCGCGGTGAGTTGGACACACCGTAACACAACACTCACATTCTCGTGTTTACTTTATGTGTTTTCAAAATAATGATGAATGTTTGAAAAGCAAGTCCAAGCCTCATCACTCATGTTATGGTAAAACTCCTCGGTGCGGGAACTAAACGTGACTCAAGATACCCCTTTATGGTAACTTTTAAGCTTTACTAGAAATATCTTTTTTGCGCCGACTTAATATTCTAAAGTACTTTCTTTTTGTGATGTCTTGAGTCTTGACGTCGTGCGGTGGTGGTGTAGGGGAGCCTATGTGGTGGTGCTAGTGGTGGTGTGGGGGAGCCTGTGTGGTGGTAGTGGTGGTGCTGTGGTGGAACTTCAGGTGGTAGTGGTGTGGTGGTGTGGGGGAGCCTATGTGGTGATGGTAGTGGTGGTGTGGGGGAGCCTGTGTGGTGGTAGTGGTGGTGCTGTGGTGGAACTTCAGGTGGTAGTGGTGTGGTGGTGTGGGGGAGCCTATGTGGTGATGGTAGTGGTGGTGTGGGGGAGCCTGTGTGGTGGTAGTGGTGGTGCTGTGGTGGAACCTCAGGTGGTAGTGGTGTGGTGGTGTGGGGGAGCCAGGAGTCACACCAACACAGGCAAACAAACGCCCACAAGGTCACACCGACATAACACAGACTGTATCAGTACTAGTAAAGTCAAGAGAAACTACTAAATTACAGTGTTGTTTCATCTTAACTTAATCATGACACAAATGGTAATATAAACAGATATATGTCCCTCTACTCTATATCAGATTTTACAGATTACAGATTGCCCAGGAGGGGGCTAGTTTATTGGGCACCCCCTTACATCCTGTGCTAGGTGAAGCGCAGAAGCGTTTACAGTGCCCAACTGGGAAGCATGCGGAGTTCATGCTTGCCTTTATGACTCATGCATTAAGGGCGTGGAAGCCTGAAGGGTCATGGTTTTTGTCAGCAAGTTACATAAAGTGACAGAATGATGAGTGTGTGGGGAATTCCCGGTACATTTTTTCATCTGTTTATAGCAAAGCGTGGCAGGTCCCTAATAATGTCAAGTGCCAGGCCAATGGCTAGGAGGAGGGATATCTGGTCAGAGAGGGAAGAGGTGTTGGTAACGGCTGGGGACCTGTAGGAGGAGGTCATAGGGCAAGTGAGGATGTAGTGACGGAGGGTACTCTATATCGTGAGTTTATAGTATAGGAAGGCCACACACGGGGTCACGGGCCACAGAAAAATCACAACCGGATCCATTTTCTCTGCCACCAGTAACCAGAGACAGAACTATTTTGTGGCATTGAGGCGCAGAACAACCCACTAGTGTTGTTCCCTCATGTGACAGTAAATGTTTTGTAAGGAACCATTTGACTGTGAAGCGAACAGCTCTTCCAATTCAAAGATAAAGGGATAGAGTGATACAAACTGTAGGTTGAAGGCATGTGAAGCTGTCATCAGTGAGTGGTGGTGATCTTTTAATAGAAAAAAGGTGAGGAACGTACAGTAAGCATCACATAAAGCAACTTGTATCATCACTACATTTAAATTATCATGTCAACAGTGCATGCAACATCTAAGACAGGTAATTAATTATTTCAGTATAGCTTGCAACAGTCATTCCAATTTCTACTGTTTCAAAATTGATTGTTTAATTATTTGAAATCTTTCTTGTATTCCAGTGTGGCTTAGAACACTTTAGACAGTTTTGTTAGTGTTTCAAAATGGCTTATAATATTCAGTTCTGTTTCTATAATGTTTCAATATGGCCTA